GGATCCCGGCCTTATTTCGTATTCGCGGTTTGTTATAATAAGATATGAATCCGTAATCTTATTGCCGTTTTTTAAACAAAACTGCATCGGACGTGGAAGATGGAACAAGTGTAGCCTCCGGTGTATTATGGATCCGAAAACAGTGCAGCGGCGAAAATATTTACACTATATACGAAACCATCCCGGACATGTTCCGCCGCAACGCAACGGGACTGCAACAATTGAATTTTGGTCAAAACGTTCAAGTTCATGTTTCGCGCATACGTAAACAAAGTGAAATTTTCGTTATCCGGTTTAGTTTTAACCAAGACGTTCATAAATTAGGAAATTTAACCAAGACTGTTAAACTGCATTTTAAATGCAAATGACTGAACTTTTCACGTAGACCTCTTTTGCGGTTGAAAATTGTATCTATTCAAGAGCATAATTTATTGGTTTTAAACGGATTATTAATGCTGTATATATGGTGCCCAATTTTTTAATGGAGTTTTAATGGTAACTTATAAACACATAGTGAAGTACAGTGTATTATGATGATGCATAATGCACTGAAGTTACTAAAATTAAACTAGCAGAGGTGGAGTAAGAAATTAATATTTCTGTTCCAGCACATTTAAAGCAGCCAGTACATGAAATGAAAGCATATCTCCAGCATCAGTTTAAAATCGGTCAGGGGTTTATGAAATACTCTAAAATATCTTAACATTAACTGTTATCTTATCACCCCCAACGTCGATATCGATAAAACAATCATTTGTGATTACCCAAATGGGAATATGTACAAAGTAGTTAAATATTAAAAATTAAAGTAAAATATATATATTTAATATATATTGAAGTCCAATATTATGCAAATTTATATAAAAGTAAATATTTATAATGAATGTCATAGGTCATTTCAAATTTATAGGCAATTCCACTCAAATAGACGCAATAGTACGCTCCTGGAATTGGTTCACTATATTTAATATTCTCGTATATCGGTTCTTTCGTATTTCTCCCGTTTTTGTGGTGGCGGATTTCCAGCCACTAACTGCTTGTAATAAAGATCACTGCCATGCTGTATTATTGTTAGGCCCTCTATTAGCTTTCATATAGTAGGGTGATCCATTGACCACTCGTTCTGCAGGCTCCTATTTGCAGCTTTTGCATGATTGTTGTGTCCTGTTATACACGTTCCACATCTTTGTAAGAAATGCGGGCCTACCAGGCCTATATACGGGTCTTCAAAATAATATAAATTTGGATGAAGGTCTCCAGGAAAAATGTTTCTTAATGCGTCAATGGCAGGATTAATGATGGGCACAACTGAAAGACCCAGAATCATTTTAGCGTATAAAGCAAAATCAAGCTCATTGTTATCTCTCACACGCAGGCCATGTTGAGAAATGGTCAAGATAAAATAAACAACCATGAATTTCACCATGTGGGAACGTTTGTAGAAAAGCAACAAATGCAACACTTTCATAGCCACATGATATATATTGAGAATTGAACTGAGATGGTTTTTACTTGATGAAAATCCATTTAACACAATTATATTAGAACAAAAAATGTTTAGATTTTCACAGTTATTTGCCTTTTTAGATCTTAGAATCCGAACTGATATATCAAATATTATTCACAAAAAGTATCTAAGATACAAATCCAAGTTGAAGAATTTAATAAGACCTACTAAAAAGCAGTCAGTCATTTCAAACTTTTCTAATCATAAATTTTACAATAGATTTATCAATTCAATTAATACCACACTTAATAAATAAGAACTAAACGTTCAGATTTTAACGAAATTATATATTTTCACATGACAATTGTTTCGACAACACCGTGTCTATATCAAATTTATCGGTGTTGTCGAAATAATTATCATATGAAATCTGAACTTTTAGTTTTTATTTATTTTGTTAAATGGATTTTCATCAAGTAAAAGCCACCTCAGTTCAATTAAAACTACACTTTCTGAGAAATAATCCGAATTACTAGAAAAGAGTTTCAACTTTAATAAGCAATTAAATTGTGAATTGATGGAGTTGATTGTGAGCTTGCTATTAACGGTAAATTCTAGGATCCTTCAGATATGTATATCGTAAAATCAATTAAAAATTACAACATTTTATAATATCATATTGCCTTTAAAGTTAGATGTTATGAGAAATTCGGTCGAACTAATCAACAAGGTTAGAGACATTAAAATTCCTCCTACGGCAATTCTAGTTTTCTTTGACGTCCAAAATTCCTTCCCTAGCATTCAACCTATTATAAAACAAGACTTGTTAGATAGTTTAATAGTTTGTTTAGACCAAAATTATTTTCAATTTAATGGTCAATTTTATATTGCAAAAAAAGGATTAATTATGGGAAACCCACTTAGCCCACTACTTGCACAAATTTTCATGGACAATGTGGAAAATATCATACATAAACATCTTCTGAATAAAAGATTTCTTTGATGGTATAGATACGTAGATGATATTTTTGCTTGTTTCACTGGAACGGAAAGACAACTGCAGTCCTTTTTGAGTCATATTAACCCCATACATAAGCATATAAAATTTACCGTAGAGACGGACTAAATAACTTTAAATTTTCTGGACTTAACTAAAATTAAAATACAGAACAAATTAGATTTTTCCATTTACCATATACCCTCAAACACAAACATAGTAATTCATTATAACTCAAATCACCCTCTACACACACAAAATGGCAGCCTTTTATTCTTTGATCCACACACTACTTAATATACGACTTTCCACAGAAATTATTGAAAAAGAATTAAATATTATAAAGCAAATAGGATTTAACATTGGTAACGAATCCTTTTTGATAGATAAGATTATAACTAAAACACAGTTTCAAACAACTCGGAACTCTATCTATCCCATATTAAATACGTAACCCAAAAATTATGGAATAATAAAATACATAGGAGAACCTAGCAAGAAAAATTCGAGACATCTATCTAAATTTGGTCTTAAGATTGCTTTTAAAACTGAAAACACCATTGGGAAATTTTAAAAAAACAATGAAACTAAAGTTGAAATGTTTTTAAATTAAAATTTATATCGGCCGTATAAAAATAAAAGTTCCGATTCTAACTATGCCATTCATTTAAATTAAGAGATACACAATTAAAAGCAAAAATTAAAAAACTAATTTTTTTGCAAAATATGGAGATTAATAAAATCAGATATTCGAATCTGTTACTTTATCACTAATTGGATTTAAATGCGTCTCCATTGTTAAATTTAAATTTATAGCCCTACACCGGTAATTACCTCTTGAGTGATTTGATAGTTTTTAATGTTATAGTTCGTAGTAGTAAGTTTAAAATTGGGGCTCTCTGTAGACCAACACAATGATTTTCCAAGATTCTCAGTTTAAACACTGAAACTTTTGAATAACTCTTTCTCGTAAAATTCAAAAAAATGTGGTACAAAGAGACAACCAAAATGAAAGAATTGGGTTTTTCAAAAATATTTGTTAGTGAACGTCTGATAATTTAATTGTGGTAGCTTCAGGGTATTATGGCTCCAAACTCATAATTGTAGTTTCTTTAATGATTTAATAGTGCGGGAGAAAAAATAATTTGTTGCGGTCAAAGTCAGAATGAGACCTATTGCAATTCTACTAGTTTTCTAATAAGTAGTCAGATACTTTAATTCTGATCCGGAACCGCAACAAGTAGCAATACTGTCTAATTCTAAATCCACAAAAGCCTTACCATATATATCAGAATATTAAATAGGGTCACAATCGACTTGTACGTAAGTTTAGTATATTAAAATATCGAATCTTCTTCTTCTTGGAGTGCGATGCAAATTCTTGCGTGGGCGTACGGTATATGTTTCTGTCAATTGCACGATTTTGGAGATCTTTTTTTTTAATTTTTTAGTTTTTAATCGCATTTCATTGACTAATATTGCGTAACCAGGAGAGTTTCTTTCTTCGTATTCCTCTTTTTTCTCCTTCGATCTGAGCTTGAGGAAAAATGCGCTGGAATTCATATCGACCTTCTATAATACCTACTTGGGACATAAGTAGGACATTTTTCTCTGCTTCATTACTTCTTAAAGCTCGCGAGCTTCTAATTGTGTTCTTCGAAGAATGTCTTCATTTCTTATTCAATCTACATACGATATTGTCAGCATTCTTTGTAAACACCATATCTCGAACGCTTCTAATTTATTTAGAAAATTAATGTTCAGGCCCCTACACCATACAAAACAACTGACCAAACATAGCGTTATCTTAGTTTAAAGTTTGGATTTTTATTTGTAAGACTTTTTTTTAATTTAAGGAAGAATGCTCTTTATTGCTCCATTCTACAAATAATCTCCTGTCCTGGATCCCAATTTTGATTTAAGATAATCCCACATATTTAAATTGCGTCACTAGTTCAATATTCTCCTCATTCACTAGTACTTGTGATACGTGGAATATCAGTCCTACTCACGACCTTACACTTAGTTTTTTTTTGTATTCATTTTCAGGCCTAAACTTGTGCCTGTATGTTGTTAATAGATCTTTCGTTGATTTTAATGCCCATACGGTTATTCGAGACCAACTCACAAAACACTCTTTCCAAGTAGATATTCACAAAAGACAAGATAGAGATAAAGAATAACGATAGCGACGCAGTAAAAAAAAAACCTTTTTTAGACGTTTTGGTTTTGGGTTAATTTTAAATGAAATTGTCATTGACGAGGTTTTGAGATAAATATGTTTTAAAAATAATTGTGGGAATTGCAGATATGCATTTTTAATAAAATTTTCAGAGGATGTAAATCATTGTTAATGTCAAATATTCATGTTTATCTATTTCAATCTGGTGTAGATGCAGTTCGTTTTTTTTACCCTCACTTTAAAAACATTCTTCGCAGAATATTACTTAAAAGTGATCTATCTATTTTTTTTTGTATTAATAATACCTATCTAATTTGTGGTTAGAAGTTGTTTGAATGTTTATATTCTGATATCGTAATGGAATAAGTATTTACCAGGAGGACATGCAAGTTGTACAGCTCCACCCAGCGAAACTTCCACTTGCCTTCCGGTTGAACTCAGCTCGCCGATATCGAAGTCGGGCTCTTGAGTTACCTCCATATCATCTGAAATTTAATAAAAGGGAATGAAATATTTTTACGAACCCATAAATTTCTCTATCCGTTTTATTCCGACGGAGCGTAGGTACGTAATGCAATACGTTAATATATTTCCTGCATGATGTTTTATACGTATGTACCTACGAGGGGCTGTCTCTGTGATTCCGTTTCACAGTTTTGGTTAGTTTCGGACACAAGATAATTCGGTGATCAAGTGCAATGTGAATTCCTAGCTTTTGTTGATTTCGGAAAAAATTAATTTGGTCATCACAGCGTTGAAGGCTAGTAGTGAAATAAGTCAAATTATACTCTGTTGAAGATAGGAATGTCTATCATGGGGATAGAAAATGATTATATTAAAAAAAACAAGGTTAATAAAGTGATGTTGAAAAAACTAAAAAAAACCTATCACTTTTGGAGATACTGCCAAAAACCCAAATTTTGATCATTTGGTTTTTATTTTTTTCCGGTGTTATTTGAAGAGATATACAAAAATAAAACTCACTTTATGGTTGCCACTTTTTGAGCTCTAGAACTTATAGTTTCGAGTAAATTATCATCAAATTCCCTTTCTGCCTTTTTGAAGGTCCGTGAAAAAATTACACCATGTATCAAATAGAATTTTTTATTACGAATGCAACGATGTACGACACAGTATGATTCTACATTGTTTAAACCACAAAAAGAATGTTTTTGGCATAGTAGTTGCTGATATAATAAATTTTAAAAAAATCAGACGAAATTATATCTAAATATCGTCACTTCATTACACAAATTAATTTAAAAGAACTTACTACAAAGAAACAATTAAATTATAAAGAATGTTCAGACAAGTGAACATGGTTTTCCAAACCCAGTAACAAAAGACAAACATGTCAGTTGTAATATTTTAAAACGCTTCAAGAACTAGTCTTAGCTAAACATAATTTTTGCAATATCCGCATATAAAAAAACGAGTTGGACGAGGTCCGGCGAACGAGGGGCCACGAAAATGCAGAATGGGTACCTATCCATTTTCACGGAAATCTGTCTGTTTCGCACTTTTGCAAGCGGTAAGTTGTTCGAAGCTTCTTCAATGTCGTACTCCAGGAGTTTTCGGTAACGCTCAAAGTCAAGAGAATCATTATAAAAAAGGGTCTATTAAATGTACTTTCTTGTCCAATAATGAGCATTTCGCCGATTAAAAATTCCATTATTTGTTACCATATTTTCCACCGACCAAATAGTCTTAGTAATAATAATGGTTATTATAAATACATTTATTATTGTGACAAATATACATATTACTACACTACAAAATACTAGATGGTATCAATTTTAAGGCAAACAAAAGGCCTAATGAAACGCAGGCGTCCAGCAAAGCCAGACACTGTTTCAGCGTCAATTTAATCTGTACCAAATTACCCTAACAATAAAAAAAGTTAAAAATAAATAAAATAAAGGGAGAAGTCGTAGGAGAAGGGAGAAAGGGTAAACCGATACAGAAATTATTGATTTCCAAGAAGTTTTGGTTGATACTGTTAAATGCAAAAGACTTAAATTATTTATTGTATACGCTGTGCATGCTATAAGAAAATGATTTTTGAGACATTTCCTTTCGATGTTGTGGTATTCTCATTATAACTTTTTCAAGTCATGAACATCTATTTGAAAAGTGATTTTGTTAAGAAGATAATTTAAATAGACTATAGCACGGTGTAACCTAAACCTATTGCACATGTTAAGTCGACTCGAAACAGACAAGTATGGAGAAATATGATGTCTGCGAATTCCATAAACAAGCCGTAAACATGAATTTTGTATTTTCTGAATACAATGTTCGCCAGCAGCGTCCAAGCAGGTTGCATACAGACAACATCAATGATTGAACTGTAGTATTTTTGTAACAATTGGAAGAAAATATCTATCACTGTATATCAACTTCAAATTCCCATATCCCATTCTGAATTTGTTTGCGATTAGTTTCTTTAAGCGCGAGCTAGAGTCTAGGGTCAATCCTAAACTGTTTGATGTAACCCAGTATGGTATATTGTCATTAATTTTTGCGATAATTTTGTTTTTCAATTATGTACTTATGTAAGCAATACCGACGACGTGGATGCGATTTTGTAAAAGTTTTTTAAATCAGTGTTAATTTTAGTCGCAGGCTGCGTCATTTCATGATTTTGACCCAAGATGTTACCTTGTGGTATACTTAACTCAACGGAGAGTGGTTCGGAATACACATTATCGCAGAACACCTGTTGAACTCTATCGGATAAAAGACGAATTTAGGAACACGCGTGCATCTATCTTCACTAAACCTAATGTAGTGTCGAATTGATATGAGCAATTTATGATTTATCCTGTCAAAAGCGTTACTAATGTCTAATTTGGGGTGCTCATTCTGCCGTTATCAAGCACTCTCACAAATATAATATTTTTTAAACCCAGATTGTTTGGTAGGTAATTTATCAAAAAGAGCTATAAATTTTCTTATTTCTTAAATTCTGAGGGGTTCTTTACTTAAGGAAGAGGTGAGGCCTTTGCGTGCTTCCAAGATTTTGGAAAATAAGGGTAATATACATTAGCTTATGACATATGTAATAAAAAGAATTATTAAAGTGCAACAAAACTGTATTAGAGTAATATTTAATTAATCTTCATTGATTTATAATAGAAAATTTAATAAAAACCCTTTTTTGTGATTTGAACAATGTAGAATCATATTGTGTTGTACATTATTGTATTGGTAATCGGACCATATGAAAAAATAAAGTTGATGATGATTTCGCCGAAACGAAACGCCGTACTTAAAATCTAGCAATGTCGAGCCCAAAATGGGCAACGATAAAGTAACCTTTACTTTTATATATGCCATTAAATAAGAACAGAAAAAATTAAAACCATATGTTTTTTTGGCGGAAGTGATGGGATTTTTTTAGTTTTCTCAGCAGTACGTTAAATATTTTAAAATTTTGCAACTTTTCTCTAAGTGAACCATTTTCGTAATTCTTACGGTCTCAAATATCTCCATGATGGACTTCCTTATCTTGAACACACTGTATAGTACCACGTTCCATTATAACTTTATTAAGTTTTATATGCTGAAACCTTGCCAATCATATTGCCGTAGCCTAATAGGCTATCCCATCCATAGAAACTCGCTGTCACTGATAGCACAGAGGCACAATAAGGTATAAAAGTTCTAAAGGGCCCTTTGAAATCTGCTTTTCAAGTATATCCAGTGGAGCATCGAACCAATTCCCTGACTGACGTAAATCTTATAGGCGAATATTTTCTGACTTTGATTATTAGTTAGTTAAGTTAGCCTCCGCATCTTGATTGGAATATTCACAATATGATTCACATATTTCTAGTGTACGCAACGAGCCGAGCAAGTGTTTAATTTCCGTGAAACTGAAGATGTCATTTACTATTTTTTCAAGACAGCACGAATACATGCACTGCTATGTAACTATCAGAATTGATAAAAGTCAAAATTCCACCCGTGGGTAATCTACCTACAACATCCGATGGTACAATTAGATATTTATTAAGCGTGGCCAAAGTCTCACTTTAACCTGTCAGCTTGGTTAGCCACGGTCACGAGCTCCTTCGGACGTTTCCGGTAGTTGAGTAACATATACGTTAACCATCGGGTGTTTTCGGTAGATTTTGCCCAAGTCGAAATCGTGACGAAAGTGGCGTTTATCTACTAGTTGCATAACATAGTATTTTAGTAGAGGCAGCTTATGTTTTATTAGAAAGGTTTATTGTACGTGAAGTTTAATTTATGTGCTAATTTTATATTTTTATTTATTAACAAAACCCACATACCATGCCTCTGCCTAACCGCAACGAAAATAACGGATAGCACGCAAGAGATACAAAGTGAAAATGAATGTTAATTTCATTTCTTTTATATTGTTTCTTATAAACATTTATTAAAAAGAATGCCCAAGGTAATTGAATCGAAAAGAACCCGACTTTGGTAAAATGCATTGGCATAACGTGCTATTTAAAAAAAAATAGCCTAGAAAATTTTTAATGGAATTAAATATAAAATTAAATATAACTTTTCTGGTCAAATTAAAAAAACAAAGGTTATATGCGTAGTTACACTTTACTTTTTACCCCAGAATAAATTTTTTGCAGACTATTTAACGATGCATGCTACTTTCCGGATAACGACGTGAAAGAAACGTCACATTTTATATCTACCCCGGATTATTACATATGTATAAACTCAAAAACTCATTTTGTAAAGTTCAATTCTAAAATGCCTTGGTTAACTGGACATCTCTTTGGACACATAGAACATAAGAGAACTCTATGGCTTAGATAAGAAAGTGATAAGCTGCATTATTCAAATTATTAATATATGTAAAGTTGTTGAACGTCTGATGTTAATTCGACTTCGATCAACTGCCATATTATAGCCACTTCGTAGCAAGACTTTGTTCCTGGCAGATCAGTTATATCAAAATATACTGACATGTTTGAATTGCTAGATATTATCTCTTGACTTGGGTTATCCAGTAGATATTATATACCGTGACTTCGACTTCGACACATCGACGCATCTTATTCAAACTTGAAAAGGTCTAGGCAAGCTGTTGGATTGAATAGTGGCGTTTCTAAGCCTCCAGTCGTTTAGGATTTGAATTAGTAAGGCTTTTTCACTACTACAAAACGTGATTAGTGGTGTTGCACAGGGATCAGTGCTGGGACCAGTGTTATTCTTAGTGTCGAGTTGCTCTCTAGCGTAAACTCTCGCGTGAGTGCTAATGCTGATGATACTAAATTATTGCAAAATCCTATTTTGAACTATTTCATCAATGGATACATTATTCCAGTGTATGTTCTCAGATGGACCTAGGTGTAACAGTAACTATGGATTTTGATTCGTGTGTATGGGCATCAAACTTTGCCAAGAAAGCTTTACTTTTGTTAAAAATGATTTTTAAAAATCCTAGTGCTCGCATCGCTTGCAGACTTTCACCTATGTTCACCCAACCTTGGAA